GTTAAACCGGTTTACAGCAGATACAAGATGGGTTATCTGCGCTGTACTCACTGCAGATGTTAAAACCTAGGTTTACAGCAGATACAAGATGGGTTATCTGCGCTGTACTCACTGCAGATGTTAAAACCTGGTTTACAGCAGATACAAGACGGGTTATCTGCGCTGTACTCACTGCAGATGTTAAAACCTGGTTTACAGCAGATACAAGATGGGTTATCTGCGCTGTGCTCACTGCAGGTGTTAAAACCTGGTTTACAGCAGATACAAGATGGGTTATCTGCGCTGTGCTCACTGCAGATGTTAAAACCTGGTTTACAGCAGATACAAGATGGGTTATCTGCGCTGTACTCACTGCAGATGTTAAAACCTGGTTTACAGCATATACAAGATGGGTTATTGCGCTGTGCTCACTGCAGATGTTAAAACCTGGTTTACAGCAGATACAAGATGGGTTATCTGCGCTGTACTCACTGCAGATGTTAAAACCTGGTTTACAGCGTTAAAAAACCTTAAGCTTAAAAGCTGATACACCGGGTGACATAACAACCATAAAATCATAAGTTTGTTTGTTTCTTGAATTTTCGCTCAAATCAACACCATCCCACATTAACCAACGAATAGTTGGGTTGATCGTTACATTATAACGCCCCCACGACTGAGAGGGTGAGCATATTTCGAGTAGAGCGCCCTAACCACCAGGCAATGCCAAGCCGAAAAGCAAAAGAAACTGTAGAAAGTTGTATAGTATCAAACTTATTAAAATCAAGGCTTGACAAAAGTAGTGAAATTAATGCTTTATCTTGTGCTGACAAAATCTTCAAGAGATAATAAGCATAAAATAAGCCCGAAAAAAGTAAGTTTCTTTATTTTCATTCTAACATTCACAAGTATGTATATTTCTAATGATAATAAGCATAAAATAAACCCGAAAAAAGTAAGTTTCTATATTTTCATTCTAATATTCACAAGTATGTATATTTCTAATGATAATAAGCATAAAATAAGCCCGAAAAAAGTAAGTTTCTATATTTTCATTCTAATATTCACAAGTATGTATATTTCTAATGAAATTTCGTAGAAAGATTAAGCAGAAACATTTTTGTTAGCTGTCTTTAAAATCTTAAAATTAAGAAACAACTTCATGAAAATTGGCACAGTCAGTTAGAAGAATGTAAACGTTTTTTGTTTACTACTAAATTTTTTTTTATTTCTGTAGTACTGAATTCTTGTGAACTAAATACACTGGATGGAAAAGTTTTCAATAACTCGAGTGGAAAATGACTTTCCCTCTTTCTAAGGAAACAAATCAGGAATCTACAAAACGAAACAAAACCAGTTTCAAGTGAAATACAATTTCAGTTTTATTTCTCTAAGGCAAATGCTTATGTAGTGACTTAATCAAACGTTTCAAATAACAAAGACATTGAGTGCACATTCGTGAATTATAGATTACTTAAGTCAAACTCGGGTTGAGACAATGTTTGTTTCAATTTTAGCGGTTCGCCTGGGGCTAGTAAAATCGTCTAGAGTTAAGCATGGTGAGTTAGTACAAAAACCCACATAGCAAAAAAATGATTAAACTTATAGTATTTCAACAAAATGAGAGGTTGCGGGAAGAATCACAAACGAAATAATTGATAACAATGCTGTAAGCTACTTTAAAAGATACAGTAGCATTCAACTCATCTGTTACAGTTGATAAGTAGTATATTTAAGCTAATTTAATTATCGATATTCTATTTCATTTCCCTTGTTTGACAGAAGATCCGAGGTTAATTACACGCTGTATCCAATTCCCTATACTTCATTGGGAAACATTTATCAGAGTTCTAGTTAACCCGAACTCCCGGGTCCCGTACGCACAAGAATTTGTCAGGTTGTATGAGATTTGACTCCCCCGAGTTCCGAATACGCACCGCAAAATGCCCCGTATGCAAGGTATGCACAAGTATTTTGCTTCGAACTTTGTACCATAACGAACTAAACAGCACACAGTTTGCACACAGCTGTCCATCATCAATTTCTAAGAGATTTCATCAATGACAATAAATTGCTCGAAAATAAAGCTATCTGAAAGTACCACATGATTAACCCATTCATCTCGGATAGGTCAAAGTACACATGTTACAATCTTTCCCAAAGTTACATTCAAAATTTAATCAAATTACTTTATTATCAATGTATGTGAATAAGTTTGGCATTAGAACATAGATAATAAATCAAAGCTAAGTATTATTTAAATTTTAAGTTCTTAGTTTTATAAGGAAATATTTAAAAGAAATTCTCAATCTCCCCCAGTATGAGAACTGTGACGTTTGTTATCTATTTGTTATCTTTTCTATTTTTTTACTATCCCTCTGAGAAGTATGAAATTTAACGTAAATTAGTCGTTATAATGTTGTCATCGCTCAGGCAAAGCATAATTTCCATAGCCTTCAATCGTATTTAGTTACAGAGCAATAA